CGGAGGGGCAGAGACGAAGCCCCAGTCTGCTGGTCCCGCGGTTATGGGAGCTGATTGCTGGTGTTGGCGCTGGGGTGGGGGGAGTCGAGGTGGCCCGCGGCGGATTTGCTGAGCGTGGCTCCGTGCACCCCCGAGCGTGCGGAGGGGGAGGACGGCTCCCGGCAGGACACGCAGCGCAGCTGGGCCCACGGGATGCTCCTGGCGCTCAGCGTCACCGGGGCTGCGCGGGCCGAGAGCCCCCTTGCAATGAGGGCAGGAGGACGGGGGGGCACGTCCTGGTGACACCATTGTCCAAGGGAAACGTCCCCTAGAAACTCAAAGCATGACTGTGCTTATTTGCAAGCATCCCCAAAAGAAGGGGAAGCACTGATACGTACTGTTATTTTGCATTTCTAGTGAACATCTTACACAGAAAGGAAGGGGCAGAGGGCAGGAGCTCCCTGTGACCGATCTCATGGGGACTGGCCTCTCCTTGCCTGGTGTTGTTTTAATGTCCCTGTTATCAGCAGGTCCAGTTGCTTTTGCAGCTTCCTGAGACTATTTAAGCTTCCCTAAAGCAGCATCAGCCAGCAGTGCTGGTCTGTGAGACCTGGGACTTCCCCAGGGCCAGGAGCAGCCAGGAGGGACGGAGATCTCCCCACAGCCATGCTGCCCTCTCTGCAGATGCTCCCAGGTGCTCAGCACCCACATCTCTTTAGGCCAGTGGCCACAGATGCACACCACCTGTGTGAGCCTGGGCTTAAATATATGCAGAAAGTGGGTGGAGAAAGCAAACGTGTAAAACAAAGGTGTAACAATCAGCCCTTTATTGGCTTCTCAGCTCCTCTGCGGTTGGTGTGATTCAGTGCTGACCTCCACCAGGGCAGCTCCAGCTCCCTCCTTCATCGGTGCCTGGCCCGTTCTCCCCAAGCCTTCGAGCCCAAGGTGTGGGTGGGCTTTTGTGCCATTGCACTCAGGTTTGTGTATCGGAGAGGTGTCTCTTCGCTTTCCATATTGAGGCTGATGACTTCTGAGGCCACCTGAACCTGGGGACATCTTCTGAGCAGCCAGGAGAGAGCTGGCACCCTCCTGCCGCTGTGCCGCTTTTGGGGCAGGAAGCAGCTTCTAATTTCCTGCACAAAGGCAAAGCCCCTGAGGCATCACCTGTGGAAAGCTTAAGTCAAGTCCCCGCTTTGGGACCGGAAGCCGGAGCACAAGCACAAGGCAGGGGCTGGGACATCCTTTACCTCCCCCTCGGGCTTTAATGCAGAGCTGTGACGGCAAGCG